CTCCTCGAAACCCAACTTTTCTTCGTATATAATCTCACACGTCGCAATGTGTATATTCTCATCCGCTTTCTGACAATTTATCCCTTTTTTTTCTCCATTTTTTCATAGGTCATTCTGACTGTTCGTTGCCCAAAAGATTGGTTAATTAGCGCCCGGGAACACATGGCGCCAAGGGATTTTTTCTCCCGTTCCCGAATTCTCCAACACAGTCCTGAATACCGTCTCCATGCGGCATGTCTACGAAGCATAATTTCATACGCGATTTCCGATTCCCTTCCTTCACCTTCGCCAGCAAACTCTTCCTCGTGTTTACCTTCTGTACTGGCCTTCTTCTCTTCTCTTCTCTTCGCTATCATCTCCATGTTCTCTTTCGTCACGCCGTCATTGTCATCCTTTTTTTTTTCACTTTCCGCCCTCTCCTCTTCGCAACAAAACGCGTCCAGTTCTTTCCCTCACTCTTCGAACTCCTCCTCCTCCTCATCATCCTCCGGAGGCGCTATTCACTCGTCTCATGTCATAGCATTTGCCGACGACGCCTTGCTTTCCAAGGCCTACATTGCCTGGAACCTTCGTGTGGACCGTCAGTTGGAAGCCGATCGTCTTTTGGTATACCATATTAAGCAGGGTTGGCTACCACTTTGTCGGTTTCTCAACCTCCCTCCGCCGCAGCTGGCCTATCCCCACGTGAACCGACCGCCCTACCACAGCCGGACACAAGCAGCGTCTCATCTTTCCCACTGTCGTCGGGGTGCCCTCGCCTGGAGACTAGTGGTTCTGAGACTGTCCGGAGTGGCCGTCGCCATAAATACCGCCACGTCTTGGCTCGTCCGTCTCGTGGGCCGAGTGGAGGGTTGACGAGTCAGACAAGACGAAAGAGCCTCTGATCGGGTGTACGAAGAGGAAACTGAAACGATTGCAATGTTAAGGCATAAGAGACGGGGCCAGGTCGTGTTTTAATGACGCTAAACTCTCAAACTCACACTCATTGCACAATCCACTAGTCAGACCTGCTCCTCGTGTATATTAACCCTCTCTTAGCAACTATTTTCCAACATACAGCCCATTTAGGCATTTAAGAAGATGACCTCACAAAACGGTGCCTAACCGAGCTTATCTGGCAGCGGTTTCAAAGGATCCATTTTAACCAAATCAAAACTAATCTCCCATATCGGTAGATTGCATTGGGCGAAGTGCAATCGCAGCTTTGTGCTTGACAGAGGGAGTCACAATGATTCTCCATTCTACTCTTGCGCCATTTGAGACAGACTTTTTTTGAGGCGTGACTTGGCCTTTGCTATGTAGATCCGTTAAAAAAAAGAGATTTGTCTCAGATTTCCAAATAAACGGGTACCAATACTTTTCAGATTGGTGAAATGTGTGTGTGTGGGTTTGATTGTGAATATATATATATATATGTGTGTATGTGTGTGTGTGTGTGTGTGTGTGTAGCTTACAGGTTCA